ATTTTCATCATGAGCAACTTTCATGTTTCTTCCATAAAAGTAATCCAGCACAGCCAAAGTAGAGAGCTGAGAGGGGTTTCTCTGAAATCTAGGCAATAGACTGAGTTTTTGGGGTAACATGCCAGTCTAGCCAATGTTATCTCCCATTTTTACAAGGGCCAAAATCCATCAAGAGAAAAGCTGCTGTCTGCAGTTGAACCAAGTTACCAAAAGAAAAAAAGAAAACATTAAAACCACCTGAAATGGTTTTTAAATGAATAAATAAATAAATCAGTCAGGACTTGAGGGAAGTTTGGCTGCGTTTACACTTGGCATTAACATGCGATCACAAGATCGGATCATCAGTCAATCAGGACACGGTGCATTTACACTTGGCAACATCAAGTGACTTCTCTATCTGGATAACCAATCGGATCTCTCTTTCCCACGCAATATTTAAATAAGTCTTCTGACAGTTCGGTAGAGAGGGGTCGGGGTTTTGCGTCATGTCGACCTGCGAATGCAGACACGATGGCTAGATTGCATTTACTTTACACTGAGATCCGATCACAATGCATCCTCGACTACCTCTGGACCAGGACACACTGATCCGAAGCACATTTACACTTTTATTTTCAATGTGTTTGTGAACAACATCTGGATACAGGTCAAATGTGCATCCCTACCAGGACTCATTTAACATTCAACAATGATAAGCCATGGTTTACAGCAAAACTTCGTCATCTTCGTCAGGCCAAAGAGGACGCCTACAAAAGGGGGGACAGAGTCTTGTACAATCAGGCCAGAAACACACTGAATAAGGAGATTAGAGTGGCCAAGAGGAACTACGCTAAAAAACTAGAACACCAGTTTTCTGCGAATGAGCCTGCATCAGTGTGGAAAGGCCTGAAGGACATCACCAACTACAAGACACCATCCCCCAGCACTGAGGCCAATCAACAACTTGCTGAAGACCTGAATGGGTTTTACTGTAGATTTGAAACTCCCAGTCTAACACCCCACACCCGCTCTGAACATCTCCACACCTGTACATACAATTTATTATTTTTTTGTGGTTTATATTTATGCATGTGTATTTTATTCACATCTCATTTTTATTATCTGTGTGTTGTTGTTGTTGTCTCCGTGTACTGGAAGCTTGTGACACTATAACAAATTCCTTGTATGTGCAAACATACTTGGCAATAAAGCTCTTTCTGATTCTGATTCTGATTCTGAAATGTTAATGCCAAGTGTAAACTTTTACTGAAAGATGTGCAGTACAACAAACATATTAAGGGGGTCCAAAAAGTCTGATACCTATGCTTTAATTTAGCCTTTTTTACAATATAAATTACTATAATTATTTTTATTTATACATATTTTTTTATATATATTATTAGATTAACAATTTGAGAAAAAAGGTCATGTTTGTCTTCTGAGTTCAGGTTTTTACTAACCATTGAACTACATCGCCCACATTTATATAAAGAACCTATGGTCCCCCAAATGCCCACACGGTTAATCCAGCCCTGATTTTATTTCCGAGTTTTAATGAAATTTTAAATCTTAGTTTGGTCTCAAATTTATGCATTTAAAAGTACATGTAAACAAACAAACTTTGGTATTGTTTTTTTATTTATGCAAAATAATGTCAAGGACACATCTCCCCACTCAGAGATGGGCTTCGCATAGAAATTGTTTTTGAATTTCCTAGTAATCACCTGAGTGAAGCCTCATACCGATTCCATAAAAAATACTGACAACCAACACATATGACAGAAAGATTTTTGGTAATTGGGTATCAGGTTGAGAGTGAATGTATTGAGACTCCACTAAACCTGAATTCACACGAGTCTAGGAACTAGGTCAAGGCCCCACTGTCTCCATCCCACTCGATATGTCCAGACAACATTCTCCAGCATCTACCTCCCATTGATTCATTCCACTCTTATCTGTTTTCAGTTCTAAATTGCATCCCAAGAGTACCTCCCCTCCATTTAGTTGCTCTCCTCCTCTCACCGCTGTGGAAATACCAGTTAGCATGGTATTGCATAGCTCAATTCAACCATCCTAATTCCCGCTGCAGTAAACGTCAGAGTTATTATTTCTCCAATGTCTGATTCCTCTACACTTCTTCTGGCACACAACTTAATGAAAAACAAGATTCCTTCAAGTGGGCCAGCTCTTCTTCAGAAATCAATACGAGAAGATTGCTGAGAAGCGGTTATTCAGTTTGGTGAACTGTGCAACAGGTACAGCTTAATGACATAGTGTAAAATATAGGACAGAGCTATATACAGCTCCGTAACAACAGATTAGACATAATCTAGACTCATCAAAGGAAAATGTAAATGTATACCTGATGTCTTTAATAGGAAATAGTGTGAAATAGTAACATATAACATAGAACAAATGAAAATCTGTGCTAGCAAACACGGAGTGATGATAAAGAAAGTGCTTGGAATGAACTGAAAAAAACAACATGTAACCTATCTAAAGACATGGAAATAAAAAATTGTAAAGAATTTATGAATAAAGTGTATACCAACAGTGTGTTACTATATTTTGCATAATGCAAAACTGCATTCAAAATACGCATTAAATAATAGTGATGCAATTAAATTGCATGCAACTTTTATTTTTTTTTTACCATAACACCAAAACCAATGGCAAGTTTTCGTTTAGCAGAAAAACAGTAATCAAATTAAATTATTTATGCTGTTCAGGGTGACATGTTTTCAGGTGAGAGGTGGCTTTCAACAAGCTACCTCTCAGTATTTCAATCAAATTTTGGAACTGCTGTGAATGTGCAATACAAAATAAATTGCATATTCAAATTATATATGAATTTGGTTTCAGCACTTGTCCCACAAAGAAAAGTTCCAGCACTTTCTACAATCAGTCCAGCCTTGTTTCATTGCTTCATTAAAGGACAGTTCATTGCTAAAAATCAATTCACTCTCTCAGCAGGGTGCGAGGCAAAAGCTGTGGATTTTTGCACAGACAAATGTGCTCTGTGGAGAAAATCTACCTTATCTGACCTGCACAAGGCAGAAAGTTCCACAATAATAATAATAATAATAATAATAATAAATTCATTCTTAAGACCACCATTATCTCTTTTCCATTTGTCCGTTTTAACATTCGACCGGATTCAGTCACTGACCAATTTAAAAAACACTCACTAGTGATTCTCCGCTTTGAGTCCTGGAGTTTTATTCGCCCGTTGCCCGTCTGTGAATTAGACTGACACTCCAGCCTGGCTGCAGCGAGCAGGCCATAAACCCGGCCAGTCTAGAGTGTGTAAAATAATAATGGCAGTGTTGCAAAACCCAAGCTGTGATAATAACAAGCTCTAATGGGGTGCTCTTATCGACATCGATTTCCAATAATAGAGATAATATAAAAAGTAGGTAATTACACTGTGCAAGCAGAGGGCGTCCTGTGCAAATATCATTATTATCAAATTGGAATGGAATGCCAGAGCGGAACATGCACCCATTAGGTCGGAGTGGCCCTGGGGAAATGCAGAACAGCGGAGACACAAAGAAGAGAGATCCCCGTCCACAACCCCCAGCGCCCACCGCCCTTGTAGTCATTCATACCCTTGGCGAGAGCCATTTCATCGACTGAAGCTGTGCCATGGGCTAAATAAGTAAGGAGCTCTATTATGTCTGAGGTGTGTTTTTGAAGATGAGATCTACACAGCAAAGACTGCATCCTCATGACCAAACACAGAGCAGCCATATAAAACAAGTGAAGGTGATATGATATACACAGTAAAGTATCTGCTAAAAGTTACACAATGAAATTTAAAATCGACACAGTTCTTGAATCTCATTTGTGTGATTTGAATATGTGCATATTCTTAACATGTCACAATCAGTTTTGAAGACATAAGAACTTAGGAAATGAGCATTTGGTTTTATATTGATGGTTGAATATTTAAATGCACAGGATAATTTCTGTCTTTTTATATTTAGATTACATTTGCCATATACAAACACTTAGAGTTCTTTAAAAACGCTAATACTTTCTTCGCCATAATTTCATATATTTCATTTTAACCGTAACATTTTTTAAATATTTTTAAACATTTCAAATGAATATGCATCTTTCATTCTTTCAATGTTGTTATGCCCAAATTTATTTTAAGCATTCAAAACCGTATTTTCCAGAAAGGTTTTTATAATCTGAAATGTACTGCCGCTCATTTTCATAATGACTTGCAATTAATGCAATTAACATCAAAAACACAAAACATGCACAAAGAGCACACATTTGGATTCGAGCCAAATGTGAGAGGTATGCGAGCCCAAGTTTATTTGTATAGCCATACAGAATCGATACCCGCTGCCGCTGCCTCACCCAGCCTCTCCGCTCCAGCACCAGAGCCCATGATCACGGGTAGCTACCACCTCTCATCCACGGAACGATCTCAGAGACTCACCCGTGGCTCCCAGCTTCTGGGAATTTCATCTCCTCCCATAGTCCCGCCGGGTTACAAATTCCCCGCTGCAAAAATGCCATGACCTACCAGATCACCACTGTCGAGGGAAAGCCGCTGGGCAAGGGGCTGGTGCGGCACCGCATGCCCGAAATCGTCCTGTGGATTGGATGTTTCCACACCGAACGGATCTCTCTACTGGTGCTGGAGGAGGCAGTCGTGGACATCGTCCTGGGACGCCCCTGGCTCGCCAAACACCAACCCACCATCGCCTGGAAGTCCGGAGACATACTCCAGTGGAGTGCGGAGTGTAAACAGGAGTGCCTCCGAGATCTGCCTATCCCGATCTCCGTCGGGAACGACCTCCCTGTCTGTTCCACCTTGGTGGAAAGCCCAGATTCATCGCCTGTCACTCCTCCTCCTCCCGAATACCAGGCGTGACGTGTTCAGCAAGCTCGCTGCCACTCACCTTCCACCTCACCGGCCATGGGACGGTGCCATTGACCTGCTGCCTGGGGCCCAATTACCCAAAGGACACGTCTATCCACTGTTGATCCCGGAGAGAGCCGCTATGGAGGAGTACGTTCAGGAAGCCTTGCAACAGGGGTTCATCCGCCCGTCCACCTCACCCACAGCGTCGAGCTTCTTCTTTGTGGGCAAGAAGAATGGGAGTCTGAGACCTTGCATCGATTACCGGGCCCTCAATGACCAGACGTTGAAGTTCACATATCCCCTTCCTCTGGTCCCTGCGGCCTTGGAGGAGCTCCGCGGGGCCCGCATCTTCAGCAAGCTGGATCTAAGGAGCGCCTATAACCTCATCCGCATTCGCAGGGGTGACGAATGGAAAACCGCCTTTGTAAATCCTGCAGATTTGCTTTATACAACATTGGGAAGATCAGGTCCTTTCTTTCAGAACATGCAACACAACTCCTTGTTCAAGCTCTTGTTCTGTCCAGCCTAGACTATTGCAATGCTCTCTTGGCATGTCTTCCAGTCACTTCTATCAAACCTCTACAATTAATCCAAAATGCCGCTGCAAGATTAATCTTTAATGAGCCGAAAAGAACACATGTCACACCTCTGTTCATCAATTTGCACTGGCTACCAGTAGCTGCTCGCATTAATGTTTGCCTACAAAACCACCACTGGCTCTGCACCCACCTACCTAAATTCATTACTTCAGAGTTTTGTGCCCTCTAAAAGCTTACATTCTGCTAGTGAACGGCATATTATTGTGCCATCTAAAAGAGGCACAATCACTTTCACAGACTTTTTCACTAACTGTTCCCTCCTGGTGGAATGACCTGCCCAAATCAATCCGAGTCCTTACCCATCTTCAAGAAACGACTAAAAACACATCTGTTCCACCTTTATTTGACCCTCTAACTCTAACACTTTCTATTTTATTATAATTCTACTTTATCTATATTTATCTTTTTCATTTTTTTGTTCTTTATTTTAAAAAAAAACAACAACAAAAAACAAACACTAGCTTTCTATTTTTTTCTATTCTATCTACTTGTTTTTCTTTGTGTGTGTGTGTGTGTGTGTAATATATACACCTTGCTACGTGTACTGCGTTAGGCTAACCGAGACTTGTCATTTGCACTTATATATTGTTGCTCTTTTGTTAGTTTTGACTGCTTTTATTGTCCTCATTTGTAAGTCGCTTTGGATAAAAGCGTCTGCTAAATGACTAAATGTAAATGTAATGCCCACCTGGCACTATGAGTAACGGGTCATGCTGTATGGGCTTTCCAACTCACCCTCCAGATTCCAAAACTTCATGAATGAGATCTTCAGAGACATGCTCAACCGGTTCGTCCTCGTCTACATAGACGACCTACTCATTTACTCACCCACTCTCGAAGCACACCGTCACCATGTCACCCAAGTACTCCAACGCCTCCGCCAACACCGCCTGTATCTCAAGGCCGAAAAGTGTGAGTTCCACCAATCCACCGTTCACTTCCTGGGCTACATCGCCACCCCCAAATGGACCAGAGGAAGGTGGACGCTGTTCGGAACTGGGCCCAAACAACTACCATCAAGGAGATGCAGAGATTCTTGGGGTTCTCAAATTTCTATCGCCGCTTTATCGCCCACTTTAGCCAGTTGGCGGCACCACTTAACTCTCTCCTCCGTCGGAAGGCCAAATTACTCACCTGGACCCCAGAGGCACACCAGGCCTTCAGTCAGCTCAAATCCGCCTTCTGTACTGCTCCGGCCCTTTCACACCCTGACCCCAATCTCCACTTCGTGGTCGAGGTGGACGCAGCGACCCTGGGAGTGGGCGCCGTCCTGTCTCAATGGCAAGGTGAATCCCCCGTGCTCCATCCATGTGCGTATTTCTCACGGAAATTATCCCCGGCGGAGCAGAACTATTTGAGAGTTGCTGGCCATCAAGCTCACTCTGGAAGAGTGGCGGCATTGGTTGGAGGGTGCCAAGCATCCATTTGAAGTGATCACAGACCACAAGAACCTACAATATCTCCGAGAGGCCAAACGTCTTAACCCGAGGCAGGCCCGCTGGGCTCTGTTCTTTACC